AAACGGCATGCTATACTGCTTGGCATTCATGCTGGAAACTCCAATACAAACATTTCAGAGTGTTTGGGTGTCAATCTGTGGACAGTGCAGAGCATTTGGAAAGAGTTGGATGATTCTAATGGTGATTACGAAGGTACGGCAGCTAGGAAACTCACTCTGATCGTTCTGATAAAAAAAGAAGAACTCCCGTATTTGTTAGTGAGGCCTTTAGACTCAACACGGAGGCCTGCATTAAATGCCTTGACTTGGTAGTGCGACTTTGGGAAGACCCTATGTCTGCCAACAGGACTCTGAACCATGCCACACGAGCAGGAGAACCTAGTCATGGCTGTCAGACAATTTCTGCGACCACATCACCCCTTACATATGACTATATAACTCCCCAGACTGCAACCCTCTTGATTATTGTGTGGGACGCAGTTGAGTGAGACACCAACAAAACTCCTTGTTTGTAAAAATAAGATGAGCGGAAGGCAAGGATTATGGCAGCATTCACCAACTGGAGACCGTCCAGAAGAGTTGCAGGAGATTCTGAAATCGTCTGGAGGTCGTGGTTGAAACCAATGGCGATTTTATTGAATAAATTTACTCTTTAATAGTTCAAGATATTTTTGTGTAATTTTGGTAAATATATCTGTTAAAATGAGATGTCAGTATTATTTTCATTTTTGGGTAATTTAGGCGAAAATTTATCCATCGCACCCTCTACACGCACACACACACACGCGCACACACACACACACACACACACACACACACACATATATATATATATATATATATATATATATATATAGAGAGAGAGAGAGAGAGAGCATATTTATCTTCTTTAATAGGTCTAACCGTCATGGCTAGGACACACTATGCCAGTTAAATTTAAGCAAACCATCCACCTTCCCTTCGTATTTCATCGACGAGAATTTCCACTCGTACAGATTCTTTCTCGCGAACTTCTGCCCTGTGGAACAGACTCCCAATTGGATCTTCCCTGATCATTAGACTCTTAACTTTTTCAAGTCTAGTGTTAACTGTATCTTCCCTTCCTATGCGTATAAACTACACCTTAACGTAACCCTCTATATAGAATGGACCCCGGTCCTTGTACAGTGTGAACCTTACTGTAAAATATATATTTAAATATATATATATATATATATATATATTAAATTTATTGAACATTTAGGTCGGTAGACGAAAATAAAGAAATATATACTCTTTAATAAATAAACAGCGTCTACTCAAATATGAGTATCCACTAAAATAATGTCTAAAAAATTTACACACACACACACACACACACATATATATATATATGTGTGTGTGTGTGTGTCTCTGTGTGTGTGTGTGTGTGTGTGTCGACAGACAGTTTGTTTCGCTGCATCACATCTCATCAGTGTGACTAGACATACGATTGCTTTCAAGCCGGCAGCGAAACGCGACCGATTTATCTATCTTCAGTCATGGACTCTACCCCTATGCTATCGGCACACGGTAAAGGGAAATTTTTAACGTATTATATACGTGATGTATATAAACGCTAGACCAGCTTCCAGAGCGCGCAATTCTGACAAAGTGCACTGTGTTAGGCAGGAGTGTGTGGATATAAACCAAATAATTAGATATTAGCAACTGTATATGCGTGCGTTAGCGAATAAATATTTACTCAATTTAATAAAAGGTGTAAACAAAACTGTGTTCAATGTGGTTAGAGCTAAGAAGTATATATTAATAAATCTTACATTGAATCATTCAGACAAAAAGGAAATTAGTAAAGTTAATGCTATAAAATGGCGAAATCCTTTCGCTAAATTTTACAGATACATTTTAAAGATACAGTAACCCATTAATCACTCGGTGAATGTCATGTTCCTTGTTTTGTACAATTGTAAACTGTATTAGGTTTCCCGGCGGTTCTACTGGTCATCATCAGGCAGGGAAACTATTTTGGTAAAATTCAGGTATCATCCGAAACGAAAAATATAATCCAAATCGAAATATTTTTTAATGTGTTACTAATAACAGATACAAACGCTAAGGTTGAATTTTTGAACATTTAAGTGAGTGCATCTTTTTATTAATATGGCAATTTAAGAATTTTTTTCTTGTATGAGTTTATCAGTCAATGTGTCATGAACTGTCAATAAGTAGAGTAATGTCTCAGTTGTTATCCCGAAAATTTGATCTACTTATTGAACTATTGCTGAGATTGAATAAATTGTTTTGGATAGTAGATGTTAAGGATTTAGTAGGTAGAATTATGTCTTTATTCAATTTTATTGTCATTATTAATGTCGTTGTTTTAGCGTTGTGGATGAATAATGAGGATGTTGGAGGTTTTTGAAATTGTTTTGTATGTATATTTATACATCAGGTAAGTATTGTGGCTGGCAGATTCTTTGTACTCTTAAATAGAATCCTATAATTATTTCTTGTTTTATTCTATTACAGTGGTGAGAATAGAAATTGGTAAGGTCATTCTTGTTGGTAGATTTACTGTGAACCTGCAGCTGAATGTCATTATTAAATTCTATGTAGCATGATATCTAGGAAAGGTAAATTGTTCTTAGACTCAGATTCAAAGATAAAATCGAATGAGAGTTCGAAGTTATTGACTTTGTTAATAATATCAGAGGACAAAATGCTTCGACTATGACAAGTCTTAATTCATATATATATATATATATATATATATATATATATATATATATATAGTCATTAACAAGACAGCCTGTTTCGATCTATCGATGCGGATATCTTAAAAGATTATATATCTAAAATAAGAAGAACTATTTGGTAAAATATAGTTGAAAGGACATCTTTCTAAGAATTCTAAAAATAGACAAGCCAAAATGCCACTAAGAGTAGACCCCATCGTTAAACCAAATGTTTATAAAAATTGTTATCGATGGTGAAAAAACTTTTATTAGTGATTAAATGACACATTTTAATGATTTTATGTGGAGGAAGAAAACATTTTATTTTAGTTTTTGTTAAGTGTGGTTTTAGTAAATTTAAGCATTTCTTTACAGGAACATTTGTACATAAAGATTTTATATCTAATCTGATCATAATTTTTTTATGTCTGTCTTTGTAAGTTGATTTAAAAGTTCACAGTAGTTTATTTTTATGTGCCAAGAAGGAGGGTTAAACTTTTCGCTAATCTGCCGGTTAGTCTATATGGGTCGCTACATATTCCTGATATATTGGCTCTCATCGGGATACCTGGTTTATGTACTTTGGTAATCCGTAGAGTATGGGTGTTTTCTGATGATTGATCAGATTTAATCGGCGGACAGAGGACGAAACGCGTCGGTTAATTTTTCCTTTCATCTTTATTCTTATTCTCCATTTACAGATATATATTTTTTATATCTGAAATTTTCCACACACACGTATTCGAAAAGTAGAAAATATAGAAATACACATTTCTATCTATCTATCTATCTATCTATCTATCTATCTATCTATCTATCTATCTCAATCTGTTCATATCTATCTATCTATCTATCTATCTATCTATCTATCTATCTATCTATCTCAGTCTATTCATATCTATCTATCTATCTATCTATCTATCCATCTATCTATCTATCTATCTATCTATCTCAATCTGTTCATATCTGTCTATCTATCCATCGATCGATCGCTCTTAGTCTGTTCATATCTATCTATCTCAGTCTATTCATATCTATCTATCTATCTATCTATCTATCTATCTATCTATCTATCTATCTATCCCTTTTCATTATCTATCTATCTATCTATCTATCTATCTATCTATCTGTCTATCCATCGATCGATCGCTCTTAGTCTGTTCATATCTATTTATCTCAGTCTATCTATCTATCTATCTATCTATCTATCTATCTATCTATCTATCTATCTATCTGTGCGTGCCCGCGCGCGTGTGTGTAGGTGTAAGAGAGAGAGTAAGCTTAGGCAGCAAGAATTCATTTATTAACATTGACCGACAAGGTCTGTCGATTTAACCTTTTACATTTTCCAGTTTGCGTCTAAGTGTTGTAATACATCCGGTTCAAATTTGAGGAAAAAAACAAAACTTTTTTTGTGTGTAACTATGTGCGTGTGTGTGTGTCTGTGCGTGCGTACGCATCTGTCACACATATACAAATAAATGTTTATAATCTTGGACACACTCACACACACAAACACATTTTTAACACGTGTTATTAAAAAGCATAACTATATCCGTTTTCTTTTCTTTCTCTTTTTTTTCGCTACGCCAAAGTTTGTAATTTATGTATTCACATTAAAACTCACAATTAATATGCCCCGTACGTGTATATTTATATGTAAATACGAACAGGGGAAGGTGTACGGCAGTCAGAATACATCACCTCTGAGGCTGACCACCCTGACCTGGAAATATCTTGCGTTGGCTTTACGTTTGTCAATACGCGGTCGTTTGAAAGCCCTGAATTTGCTTTGTTAAAATTCAAACCGAAATTAAATGTTTCTCTTGATTAAAAATTCTGGCATTGTCAGCGTAAATAATAACGGAATTATTTGTGTAAAGATTGGCACTTTTGCCTCGGATCAGTGTAGTATCTGAACACTGTATGAAAAGCCTTGCCCAGTCCCCACTTGTCTGTCTTGATAAGTTTAAAGAGTCTACGTGGCCTTGTGGATGATGAATAATTCCCCCCCAACCTCTTTCGCACAGAGGAAATGTCACAAGTCTCTCATTGTTCTATCGCTATTCCTACGGCATATGCCCTGGCGCGCTACATTCTTTAGTCCTACCACACCTGGCCTTTAAAATGGGACTCGCCATACCACGTATATAAGAGTGAATCACCCCCCCAATTCATTTTGTATTCCATTAGTAAGGAGTAAGTTCCACTCGGACAGCTTCTTTCCAAGACCTGCTGCTTTGTGGAACAGACTCCCATTAGGATGTATTCCCAATGTGTTGGTCGATGTTACGACATTAAATCCCCCGACAGGAAATTGGCTTATTTAATTTTGAATTTTCTCTTTTAGAGTGAGAGAGAGAGAGACAGACAGAGAAAGACAGAGAGAAAGACAGAGAGAGATAGAGAAGAGACAGAGAGAGACAGATATAGAGATAGAAACAGAAACAGAGAGAGACAGTGAGAGAGAGAGAGAGACAGAGAGAGAGAGAGACAGAGAAAGACAGAGAGAGACAGAGAGACAGAGAGAGAGAGAGAGAGAGAGAGAGAGACAGAGAGAGAGACAGAGAGAGAGACAGAGAGACAGAGAGAGAGAGAGAGAGAGAATGGCGACAGGGAAAGATAGAGAAAGATAGCACTAAAGAAAGACTTGTATCAGTAAATCATTATTATGTCTAAAAAATTATTACAATCTAAAATGATTTCCGGAGGTTTGCCATCATCCGGTTCACACCCTCCCCAGCCTTTTGAACAGGAGTAGAGGTTTAATCCCTTGTTTCCTGTTTAGGACTTGGTTTCCGGTTCCTTCTAAAGTCTACTTCTACCTTCTACTCTTAACATCTCCGCCTGAACTCTGAAATTTCATTCGTTAATTAAACCATGACATCTTCAAGTCGAGAATTAGCTATCTTTCCGGTTACCTTACCCTTTCTTATGCCAATACAACTCCACATAGTAACTCTCTACCTTGAGTGGCCCTTGGTAAACATTAGTAAAAAAAACAGAAAAAGATATATAGTGAATGAGAGATAGAAATTGGGAGAAAGATAAAAAAAAAGAGAAATACATTGAGAAAGACAATTATAGTGATAGAGAAAGAGAAGGGAAGAGAAAAATAGAGAAAGAGATAGATACAGAGAGAGAGAGAGAGAGAGAGAGAGAGAGAGAGAGAGAGAGAGAGAGAGAGAGGGGTAAAGAAATAGGGCCGAAACAAAAATACTAAAGAACTCCGGATTACTTACGTAACGTGTTTTCTACATATCTGCGCACATATACATATATATATCGGAAAGCGAAATATAAAATATATATATATATATATATATATATATATATATATATATATATATATATATATATATATATATATATATATCGAGGCAGTATAATTGTTAGCAAGTTTGTCTCGTTAGAAAGAACAATTATGACTAAGTAAGTTCGATCCTCACTGAGTGCCCCTACTTTCGGCCTTATGCTACATCTAAGCTACGCTTGGAAAATCACTATATATATATATATATATATATATATATATATATATATATATATATATATATATATAAGTGAAGTGTTAAGAATGTTTGGGTCGCATTTAAGTACTTATCGAGTTGGGGACATGGTATTTTTCGCTCCGTGTGTGTTGCTTGTGGCGATGGGAGGAGGGTATTAAAATATTTTCCTGACCCCCCCATTTCCATCCCCTTGATTTCCCAATCGTTGTAAAGAAATCTGGTTTGTATTTACAGGACGTGCGACTGTCAGCGTTTCGACTATGATTGATGACTTCATTTCGTAACAGGAACTCGCGACTTAAATTTGTTCTGTTCATCCGACTTTTAAATTCGATATATACCTACCTACCTACCTACCTACCTACACACACGCACACACACACAAGCACACGCGCGTACACACACACACACACATATATACGGGAATAAATAAAACACTTAAAATATAATCACAAGTACCCACCCCAGCAAAGAATAAACACACACACACACATATATATATATATATATATATATATATATATATATATATAATATATATATATATATGTATATATATATATATGTATAATATATATATATATATATATACATATATATATATATATATATATATATATATATATATATATATATATATATATATATATAGAGAGAGAGAGAGAGAGAGAGGGTAAGTATATATTTATGCCTGCGTGCAAGCGTAGGTCACGTGACTAGTTCAAGGCGACAACACCCAAGTATCAAATTCAGGTTCTTAATTTTTTCAATTCTGGCTGGTCCGAAAGTACTTCGAAAAATTTCCTTCATTTATCCCTTCTTTGTTTCGTTCTTTTTGATAGGATTTTCCTGTCGCTTCATTTTTTTCTCTTTTTTTCAATTTCTCTCCTTCTTTTTCGTCGCAATTACTTTCTTTTCTTCTTGAAAGATGAAATACGATCAATATCGTTGTTTCTTGTGGTCTATTTCTCTTTTTTAATTTCGTTCATTCCTTCATCTCATTTTTTTTTCAATTTCGTCGATTCCTCTGCCGTAATTTTTTTCAATTTCGTTCATTCCTTCCTTCCGTTTTTCACATTTCGTTCATTTCTACACCCCATTTTTTTTTCAATTTCGTTCATTCCTTCCTTCCGTTTTTCCCATTTCGTTCCTTTCTACATTCCATTTTTCAATTTCGTTCATTCCTTCATTCCGTTTTTCACATTTCGTTCATTTCTACACCCCATTTTTTTTTCAATTTCGTTCATTCCTTCCTTCCGTTTTTCCCATTTCGTTCCTTTCTACACTCCATTTTTTTTCAATTTCGTTCATTCCTTCATTCCGTTTTTCACATTTCGTTCATTTCTACACCCCATTTTTTTTCCTTTTTTACCTTTCTGTCATTTTTTTTTTTCAATTTCGCTCATTCCTTCCTTCCGTCTTTTCAATTTCTTTCTTTCATACACGTCATTCATTCAGTTAAATGTCCAGGTATTAAGATGGCGGGCCGGAGAAAAATCCATTCGCGGTCTGGATGTGGCCCGGGGATTTCCGAACCCTGTCGTCGATCTTAGCAACTTCAGCCTATAATATTTTCCCTTTTCTCATAAAGTCAAGGACTTATGGCTTTTGGAAACACTTCACAGCTTCTTTTTAGCGCATCCAAATTACCGACATCACGTCCCTTGTGCCTTCGTTAATATTATTGTTAATATTTTGCAATTCTTTACTTCTGGGTTTGACCGCGGTTAATTGTATGGCTTAGTCGTTACAATGGAGAGCCCAGTCAAATGTCGATCCACTACACCTAAATATTGTCCTATGTCGTAAGCATATTAACCATCTCTCTATAAGAGATAGCCACTGTCATTATCCATGAAGAATCTTTTTTTTTTTGCTATAGAAATGAACTGATAGTGAAAAGTCAGGTTATTGAACTGCTTCTCAAATGTAACCCTCTAATTTGAGTAGATCCTGGGCCTTTTACAGGATGAACCCCTCGTCCTGGGTATGACGATAAACTACATCCGCTTTCTGGGTAAGACGATAAAATACGTCCAGCATCAAGGCCTCTGATCAATCAGGAGGTTTTGAGGAGCGTGGAACCACCTCTTAATTGCTGGTGTTCTCAGGTCCACCCTGACCCGGGGAGGTAGTACCTGTTAGGGTCTCAGCTATGGGCAAATAGTTAACACCCAGACTTGTGTAAAAATAGGTTTTAATACTAGAAATACTTTGTGGAAAAAAATATTATCAGCAATAATTTTTGAAGGAAAAATTATTATCAGTAGTACTTAAAAAAAAAATACCAGCAACACAGCTATACATTCTTTGGAAAAAAATATGACCAGCTATATATTTCTTCAAGGAAAAATATTCCCAGAAATAGATTTTTGAAGAAAAACATAATACCAGCAATAAAAATTTTGTCCTCAAAAATAACCCATTGAGGTGTTGATATGCCGTAAAACAAACCAAACCAAACAAACCAAACAAGATGAACCTTATTGTAAAAAAATGTAACACAGCATGGATAAGTCTACGATTTCAAATGCTGATTTTCGAAGCAGGAATGCCACCCACCCCACCACCATTACGTGATCCATTTCAATCGGAATATTCAGACGGTAAAGTAATGAAAAACTCTTTTATAAGTGTTTTTATTTTTAAAAGAGTCGACTGTGAACAGGATCATCGAGCCAATATGAAAGATACTTTCTTTAGCTGCATAGTATGCGCTACATGCAGTTTTGAATTCAGAGTTTTCCTTCTCCTAGACTGGTTGCCACCAAAACATTTAGAACCCAGTCTGTCTTACTATTTATTCATAGCTGGGAGAAGAGTTGGAATTATACACGGGGTATTAGCACTGAAGTGAATGTAATGAACTCAACTAGAATTCAAACTCGGTTCTCCGATTCCTCAATCCGAGCCGTTGTCCATTATATTTAAAAAAAAAAAAAAAAACAAAAAAAACATAACAAAAAAAAAAAAAACAAAGTTCGAAACAGTGGTTTTATTTGGGCTTGAACGTCGACGGGTAGAAAAGAAATCCACTACCCGAACCATTAAACATATTTAGTAAGTGGCAATAGGTCAAACATGGCGAAGATTGAAATCACTTAACAATGAACAGCCGACATGATTAACTTATTAAAAAAATGAAATGATCTGAATTTCCTATTTCTATCCAAGATATACAGGGTGTTCCAAAAGTCTTGGGAACATTTCAAGTCTTCATATCTGCTGAACTACGAATGGTAGTAAGATGAAACTGGTACCATTTTGAAGCTAAGTTTTTTGTAATGCTAATGATTTTTTCATATTTTTTCAGCTCCAGTAATAGCGTTCACTTAAGCAGAAAAGCTGTTTTGCGTCCTTGAATTTGCAAAAATGGACACTTGTTCAACGTGCATTTCGCACAAAATTCCGAAAAGAGGCGCCAGAAAGGAAATCCATATTAAGATGGCATGGTAGATTCATGAAGGATGGGTGTTTGTGCCCAGCTAAGAGAACGGGACACCCCACAACTTCAGATGATACGGGTGAGCGTGTTAGAAGTGCCTTCGAACGGAGACCCCCGCCTCGTAAATCGATCAGAAGAGCCAGTAAGGAATATCAGCTTCCTACAACAACTCTTTGGGATGTCTTAAAAAGACGACTGTATATGACACCTTACAAGCTGCAGTTAATCCAACAGTTGCAGGACACTGATAAACCAGCTCGTCGTTGCATTCCAATGCAAGAGAAGTTGGAAGATGGCGGATTTGATGTGTGCCGGGTGACCAACGGTGCTTACATTGAACATCTTGGAACATTCCATGTTAAAACTTGAGATTAAATTCTTTCAGAATATGTCAGGCGCGTTTTTATATCCTTAATAGTTTTCGAAATATTCAATGTCAAAATGTTCCCAAGACTTTTGGAACACCCTGTATATCCAGAAATTAAAAGCAAATGGACTCTTATCAATACTAGTAAAATATGTTCCCATCATCGAATGTGACTTTTCTGTGCGACATTGTCAGTATTGATTAAGCACATCGGAATGATTCTTAAGGTCAAGCAAACAAGAGAAGTAGGATGTGTTTTGTCAACCTTCCGTTTATCTGTCACACACACACACACTCACATGCACACACATACACACACACACACACTAACACGAACATACACACTCACACGCACACACACACATATATATATATATATATATATATATATATACGTTAGATTCCTTAAGAATTTGATTTAATAAAGGTTGGCGATGTAATATAATGTTTTTGATATGTGTCTATAGTTGGTAATATACAGGATCAAAACTTGCTATAACTTTGATTTTATTAATGCCCCCCCCCAATTTAAAAAAAAATTATATAAATCTTTAAGGAGTAAATACTTTGAGAGCTTAAATTCATTATTGAATCCATTCTTAAAGAATGTAACATATGTCTATCTAAAACACACACACACACATATATATATATATATATATATTTTGCGTCCGTGTGTTTGGATGAACGACGAGCGTGGGTTCAGTAAAATAAATGAAAAAACTATACATATGTGTGCAAAACTTTCGGGCCCCTTTGTAAATTTTATTAATTATCCCTAAAATGAGAGTGATTACCTGTATGCTTTTCTCAGTACATTTTTCGGATTTTTTTGAGGGTGAGCGCATTTTTGTTGATGCTGTATAGTAGATGATAGAGCATCTTAAGTATAGTG